AAATGCATTACTAAGGCTGTCATGGGAGTGTTTTCAGCAGTACAGATGCTATAGAATGATCATAGAAATGCCATAGGAATATTGTAAGAATACTACAGACCAGTGTGTGTCTTCCTCTCTCTTTTCGGCGACTACACATTGCTACTTCATTGAGGTGACACTACTTTATAGAGTATATACAGTAGGCTACAGTAGTATAGAATTGTGTATTTATAGTGTATAGTTAGTGTGTAGAGAATTATATAGAAACTGACCATCATACCATCCTTTACCCAATGCATTGAGCAGTCTAATGTCTGATTTTCATCATAACTATCTTTTTCTTATACCCATTATTACCCGTAATTCCCTGTTTTTTGGAGCCATCTTAAACCATGGCAGGTTGTTCACCTTCTGATTAAAGTGTTGCTCCAGTAGAAACCACAGCAGTGAATCAATAATGTGAATAGTGTCAAGTGACAAACCCCTCCTCCACCGGAATTCCTTAGAGGCTTACAGAAACAGGACATCAAATTAGCTAATTGAGTAAATGCTTGTGGAAATCAGATGTGGAAGAAAAAAAATTGCTTGTGTAACTAGTGCCTCCTCAGTAATTAGATTTTCTTCAGGTTTCTGTCATTATCTAAGGTAGGGTATCACTGCCAACATCAAATAGAAGGAAAATGTAAGCTCCCTACAACAGATGCAAGACATCCTACCTCACCTATTGATAGGTCTGGCTGATTGATCCTCACCTGCTTTATTGCAAATACAGCAGCTCAACTAAAACATGTCTACCTGCCTGAGCAGTTCTGCCTCCTCTTGTACCTTCTTCTGGGTTTCTTTTTCCTGTCTTCTATAGGATTTTGATATAGTGTATCTCTGGTGATTACAGTGATTGTGATCAGAGGGTGCCAATTTTCTTCCCAGGGTGCTACTCTGACCCCCAACTGTGAACCCTCGCCCACAGGGCACTATCTTCCACCGAAGAAACCAGAAGCTGTAGTCCATGCAATGAATTTAGTCCACAAGCTGGCCTGTGTTAGCAGTTTAAGGCTGTGTAGATGTTTGCTATTTAACAGGCAATCTGGGTAAAAGAAATACAGCTGTACTAAAGCTAATTATGGCTATTTTCTGCTTTCACTGACCTCTTCAATCAGTTAAAGTAGTCCATTCTGGGTCTGAGTGTGGTTTTGATCAAGACTTATCAACAGCTTAAATAGAGCACAAAACAACAAAGTGGAAGGTGGAGAAGATTATGTAAGTAGGTACACACAGCGTGTGATTCTTTTATCATGGTAATGTGACTGTGTATGACAGCAGCTGCCCCTAGTGGCTAATGTAAGCCAAAGGTTTTACTAGGAAGCCTGAGCTCTTGAATCTTTAGGCCATTTCAATATTGTATTGCTGTAGCTTCCTGTGTGTGTGTGTGTGTAGGTGCTGGAAGTCCATGAGAAGCTGGACAGGCAGAGCTCACAGGAATATGATGAAGATCTTAGTGAGAAAGACAAGGCCATCGTCAGAGAGATGTGCAATGTAGGTTTAAATATGACCATTCCTATTCTTTCTTTTTTTTCTTTGATCTGAAAGAAATGCACCTACACACAGTAGGTCTCCAGTCCATCCATAAATGGAACTTTTCACACAGCGTCAAACATGGTGATTCAGCATGGATTTGCTAAATATTATACAGTCTTTGATTTCTACAAATGCAGAGTTTGGTCCACTTTCTAGTCATATGTACAGTTTGTTAAGACTGAGACAAAGATCCTCCAGGAAATCCCCTCTCTTCACAGTAGTGGTAGTCTTTTAATGTTCTCAGTTAAACCCTAACGAAAGTTTGGGCCACTAAACCAAGTTATATGCAGTATACTGTAATAACATATCAGTCAGTAGATAGAAGTTGTAAAAAAATCGAAACAAAACACTTTTCTATGTGCCATCCACGTTTTTAATGGTTGCACTATATATACTAAAATTTCAGCCTGATGTTAGAAAAGTTGGTATCTTAATAGGGCTGCACTATATGTTAAAAATATACAGTACTGCAATTGCAATATGTTTCACTATTAGTGATTAGTGTAATCTTTCATTACAATTTTCATCTTCACAAAAAAAAAAAAAACTATTAAATTCATAATGATGTGACATTTTTTGGAGTCTGTATCAAACAAATGTGAATCTTAACCAAAATTTTGAATAAAGTTCTCTGGATTTGAACAAAGTTTGCAATTACAGTATTTATTATAATTTATGAAATGTGGCTTGCAATATAAAACCCAGCCATTCAGTTTGTAATGCAGTCCAATGTTATACTGTAATCAAGAATTGAGCCACCTACATCATACCACATATGAAGTCAATGCAGTTGGTATGAGCACACACACACACACACACACAGACACACATGCATACACACATTTTCATGTAAAAAGTAAGTATATATGTCAGATATGATAAAAACAGTAATAGGAGTTAACAGCAGTGGACAGCGTCTGAGGTTTAGGAGGTATATATTCAGCGGTGATGCAATTGTTGGTTGCATATGTCTTCATGTTTTGTCACATTTTTGGTATATTCCACTTTCTGTCATAAAGTGCTTCCTCTGACTGACTTCCTGAGGACTATCACTCTGACACTGTGTTGTTTCTCTCTTTCAGGTGGTTTGGAGAAAGCTGGGTGATGTTGCCAGCTCCAAGCCTTCCATCCGACAGCAGCTTTCAGGTAACCAGTTCAAGGGGCCTTTATAAATGAAGCCACTAGAAGTCCCGGCAAATCTACACTACTAATTTGGACTTCTTATTATTTGGAATCTTATTAGCGCAGTTTTTGCTCCAATCTCATAATCTGAGTCACAGGCATAGACTGTATGGAACTGTTCAAAGCTTGGATTTGGGTGTGGAACTGGAAATGGGAGAAATGTTAAGCCTGGTTTGAGCTTGAACAGCAGTCACCTCAGCCTAATGTAAGCAAGCAAACACAACCAGAAAAGCTAACTTTAAGCCTCAATATCTAATTACCACTTAGCCACAAAGTGTTTTGAAGTGGTCATTAAAAGAAGAGCAAGGCACTTCTGCATTGGCTTCTCCACTTAGCTGTGCCATGTGAGGACAAAGAAGAGGGGTGTGCTCTAATAATCACACTCGATGAAGAAAAGGAAGCTATGTATTTTAACATTCTTTAACAATTTTTTACTCTTCATTTAATTGGTAATTTAGCCAATGCCTGATGTCCAAACCTTTGTTTAGTTTGTTGGTAAGTCATAGATGTTACATATTAATTGTGTCATTTACGGTCTCAACGAAGGACTGAAGTGGACTTCGGGGAATCACCGAAACTTTCTCTGATTTCAATGTTAATATAAGACCGCTAAAAACTTAAAATGACACAAGTCGTATTTGCAGAAACTTTGACTATATCCTGACAGTAGTACATGAGACAGATAATCTCTGAAATCAGATTCCTCTGTCTCTATGTCTAATAGCATTTGCAAGAATCTATTGGGTATGGACAAAAATAACCAATCATGGGTTGGAAGCTTGAAGTTAGTTGATTGTTGAGTCTCATTCCCAGGGTCGCAAAGCGTGTGTATTTGACACCTTGGGAATGAGACAAATGACTATCTTTCTTGGCTCTGATTGGTTGTTTTCGTTAAGGCCCGGTGGATTCTTGCAAATTTAAAATAAAAATTACCTACTGCAGCTTTTTGTTTTGAGGAATGCCAAGAGGACATAAAATATGAATATTTTTAACCCTTCAGGGTGACATTTCACTGTCCTTAATTTTCAGCTTCAAACCACAGAACACAGTCCCACTAAAACAATTTGTGTTTGATTTAATTCACACATTTCAAATTGGGATTGGCAGCTCATAGAGTTAACTGAGTGTCTCTGTTCCTAAGGAAATGCCTTTACTTTAGATGGATTTGACTGTTATGACATGATTTTAGGAATACATGATTTTGTTGTCTTAACCACATTAAGATTAGAAAATTGATGACTCCATCTGTTTGTCAGCACAGAGATAGGACCACTGTATGTTAAAGCTACAGTTGGGAACTTGGAAAAATGACTTTTTTTCATATTTCCTGAAACCTTCCCTATCCTCTTACTAGTACATGAGACAGATAATGCGTGAAAAAATGAGGCTCCTCCTAGTGCTCCTAATGACATTTACAAGAATCCAGTCTACTCGAAAGACAACCATTTAGAGCCAAGAACGATAGAAAGACACTTTGGGTTAGTGGCTTGAAGATGATGATACAGATGATTGATTGTTCAGTCTCATTCTCATGTCGTCAAGTACTGATGCTAGAAATGAGACTCAACAATCAACAATAAAGTAATTTCCCCCCGGGGATTATTAAAGTATTTCTGATTCTGATTCTGATTAGCAGCACTAGGTGGAGCCAAAGTTTTTTTACAGATTACCTGTCTGTCTGTCAGCACAAAGACAGTCACCTGAGGTTTTTTTGAGGGGTTACTTTGCAAACCTGGCAACCCCACAATGAAAATGAAAGTCAGTGCACACTGCAGTCAGTTGTTCTAGCAGTTAAGAAGTAGCTCCACTCCTCAAATGACAATCTCATGTAATTTTCTGTTTCTACAATTTGAATACACAATTTACAGTTTGTAAATAAGACAGCTTAGAAGTTGTTCGTAGGTAAATCGGCATCCTTATGCTGGCACCTTCTATTGTGGTGATAAGCAAGGCTAAATACAACCCAGATGTTGCTGTGTTGGAGCCACAGAGACTAATGTCAGTGTTCCAGGATATTAAGTGCCTTAAGAGATAATTTGCCTAGTTTAGTCTGTAAGCATCTTTGACAATGTTATCTTATGTTTCAATGATCGTCCATTTTTACATTTTGTAATATCAAGCAAACTTTGATCATTTCAGGTGACTTAGCACTACAGTTAGCCTTATTCATGCCATTTTCATTTTGACTGTACATGTACTACAAATGATCAAATTAGCTCTTAGTCCTAATTGGATCATAATTAGGTCTCTTAACAGCTAGTAAACACTATTGCCTCAATTTAAAGGTCCAGTGTGTAA